TACAAATCGATCGAAATTGGCAGCCTATATTTATGTATATGCGTGTAATGTATATGAACGGTCGATTTTCTCGCTCGATATCCCGTAAAACGGAGCCTCGCAGGCGCTCCGATGATAAAAAGTACTAAGTGATAGAGATGCAGTTTATCGTAAATTAGCAGCAACTTGTCCATCTTACCAGCTAGGGGGGTGAATATCAATCGTCTTAGTAGCGGTAGATTGTTCCAGCGGTAGTAAAAATGTAGAAAGTAAAACGTGGATAGATCGCTAAGAACGATTTAAAAAAGTTCTTCCTCTCCTTTTTCTTTCTTCTTTCTCTTCTCTTCGTTTGTCAGCTCTTTCCAAAATCCAAGTCTGCCTTCTTCTCTCTTCTTCGTGTCGAGTGATGCCTCAACGCAAAGTGTGGGTGGAGTTTCACTCTGTTGGCAGTTTCTGCTTTCGCTTATTTTTCCTCTTTCTCTCCCTTCTACGGGCAAGAAATGACGATGCTTCGTCGTACGTGTGTCTCCCGTGTACGTGTGTCTGTTCCGCATCGATTCCTCCGAGTAACAAGAAAAAAGAAAAAAAAGAAAAAGAAAAGGAAACACGCTCTCACGCTGTTCCCATTCACACGCTCGTCCCATCCGCTCTTGCGCAAACGTTCGCAAACTTTTTCATAAAGTAAAGACACAAACACGTGCACACACGTTCCTCGTTCCTACCGTTATACCCTTGTTTCCGCAAGAAATTAAAACAAAAGAGCTCCCTCCCCATTCTTTCTCATCCACCCTTTCTCTCATGCTATTTCTCTCTTGCTCCACCTGATAGCGTGATATATGTATGTATATCTATCTGTCTATCTATCTATCTATCTATCTATCTATCTATCTATCTATCTACCTATATATATATATGTATATATATAAAGTCTCTACGTGTACAATCTTATGTATAGTCTTCGCCAAGATTCTCTCGATCACGCGTTCTGTCTCGTCGCCGGCCGCTAGCGGAAACGAGCGGAAACCTCCGACTAATTCCACCGTTTCTCCATCGATCCCCGTCTCTCTTCGTTTCCTTTCTGTCCGTTATCACTCTTTCTCGTATCAACCCCTCGTTTCGCTTAGGTCGCTGGTTTTCCCTGTCTATCTGAGGTATTCTATTCTGCGAGAGATGCACAATCGTGTAACGCGATTAATAAAAAATAGTCGTAGCTAATCGTTCGGTAATTAAAAAATAGCGGTTTGGCACGTGGTCTTGAAAAGGGAAACGACCCGGCAGGAATTGACATCGAGCAGCTCCTTTCCACCGAGTTCCCATCTCGCCGTCTCTTTCACGAGAATCGCCCTCTCCTTTGAAGACTTGTCCTTGCGCTTCTGCCAGAAAGAGATAGATTCTTCGTTCCAATTCCAATCGTCCATCGATCTCCTTGGAGTTCTCTACTCTCGTTGGGAACGCGATCACGAAACTCGGTCGAAAATCGAAAATCGAGAAACGAGCGCCTGCGCCTGCCAATTCCAGGATTGTTATCCCTTTCACCACCACGTCCAAGCATCCGTGGTGCTTGTCGTCGTGGTTCGAGACGACCGAGGAGGCATCCTGGAAAAATAAACTTTCGCGCGCGCGCGAGTGCGCGGTTGTCCGGTCTTTCGCGAGCTACTCTGTCGCTTTTGCCCGTGGGCGAAACGAAGGGTCAAAGGGAAGCTCGACGACGATGGTGAACGACTCGATTTTAACGACGACGACGACGTTCCCGTTAGCGTGGCGATGTCCATCGATCGCGGCCGTGGATCCAACGTTCGTGGATGAGGCGGCAGTGGAAAGGCGGTTGCTTCATCGTTCGCCGTTTCACTTGGGCACGCGGTAGTAGCGCAACACCAGGTAGCCCAGGGTGCGGAATATGACGAGGAACGCCAGGAGGACGGCCGTGTTCGCCCACAGTGGAAGACCGGAACCTCTGGCGCCGCCTTGGCTCTCTAGAATCGCCGACACCGGTATCGTCGTCGCGTTTCTGCACTCCTGGAACTTGCTCGGTTGCGAGCATCTGCAAAAATTAAGCAACGTCGTGGTTGAATACCTTGGCCTTCGAGTAAAAGTCTTCGATACTAAAACAGAACTACCAACGTGGTCAGAATGACAATTATTTACAATTTTCGTTAGAAGATTTGTAAAAAGAACTTATCAGAGAACTGTCAAATGTTGCGTTCTTCACAGATTCGAATGATTTTTGTAAAATATACGTGAACAAAAGTTCATGCCCATTGTCCTGTTGCAAGTCTTTTTCTATCCGTTGCCCGACTCAATTTTTATACTTTGTTACCTCTATCTCTTGAAATGAGATTCGTAAAACATATAAATAAAAGCTTATACTCTGTACTCTCGGTAGTTCTAGTGTTAAAGGTTGCTTTTATCTGTGAATTTATTGGGAATTCGATAGTTTCATTAGTCTGTGTGCGTAGTTCGAGTTTTGTTTCGTAAATTCAGTGTATAATATGCAAGTATAATGTTTGTTCGAAATTTCACAAAAATCTGTGTACGATCGTATTGCTATCTCGATTTTAATACTGTGCCTCATCAGCAATATAACGAACTTTATTTCTGTAAGGTGTTAAGTTGTAATTAAATACACAGGTGACAAAAACGATGAACGACATTTCCTGACTTTTACTAGAGAAAGAAAGAGAGAGGGAGAGAGAGAGAGAGAGAGAGAGAGAGAGAATCTTCAAATCAATATCACGTAAATTCTTAATTCTCACTTTTGACTTTAATTCGTTTAATATACGCGTTTTTAGATGAATTGAATGATATCAAATTAACAAATAACGAAAAACGAAGGATAACATCGGCGTTAAGTAATCAAGTCTTTAATAACTTTAATATTCTTCTTAATAATATTGTCACGTGCATTAGTGTCGCGACGAAAATCGATATTTCCATTCTTAGCTCGTACAATATAAATCACTCATCCTCGGCTATGTCGTTTTCTCCTCTCTCTCAGTCTCTAGTTTCAGCTCTGCAATCTTTCAGAGAAGTGAAGAGATCACTTTCGACTGATTTGATTAACGTATTCGTTGTCACGTGTCGTTGAATTATGACATCGATTCGAATCGCAGCGCGAGGTCTGAAACGGTTAGACTTCGGAGACTGAATGATGCATCGCACTGTGCCGCGGTTGAAACTCGCTTATCATTTATACGCGGTCTTTCCTTAATTTAATTAATTCCGCTTCGTTGGAGGGAACAGGTACGAAGTACAAGGGAATCGAATTCTCTCGGTCTGGTTCTTCTCATTTAGTGTCTTGAATTGTCGGATGAATTTCAGTGTAAAACAGTCTGATCTCGACTCTCGAGAAATTTACAATGTGAAAGATGACACGTAGAAATTTTTGCAATTTAACGACTTCTAGAATTCTTCTAGAATCTCGACTTATTTTCTCAAAAGGTGGAGATCGTGTAATTTCGCGGACGACAGAATTTACGCCGTTTATTATTTTATGAAGGAAGCTTCACTCAAAAAGGAAGGAAGAGTTCGCTCCGTAATTTCCAATTCACTTCATCAAAGAAGAATTTGATTGTATCGCGGGGTTGGAAATTAGTTGCTTACGTGATTGGCTCGCCGACACCGAATTCCAGGATCTGCATATTCTGATAGGCATAATGCACCATGCTCGCGTATCTAGCCCATGCCAACCATGGTGGTACCGCCGTTGCCAAGTAACCTCCAAGTAGTTGTGTCGCGAGCGTGTAAAGCGCGGATGCAGTTATGCTAACCTGAAGGTCCAGACAGCACGCTCCAACGAAGAATCCGACGCTCTGAAATCAGAAAACGTAATGGCATTTCAAATTACAGCGAGAGACTTTTCGCGAGAAATTTCCTACGGCAGATATTTCCCCTAACTGCGACTGTAGAACTTGAAGCATAAAATTTCCATCAGAGACACCGAAATAAAAAAAAAAGAAAAAAAAATAGGAAACTTTATGATACAATGAAATATTTTATTTGTATATTTTATGAAAAATCAAAGATACGCTGTATTACGTCTGTAAAACAAAAATTATACATTGGCCATTTTGATCACTTTGGTAGTTCTAACGTTAACAAAGCGAAAGATTAGGTTTGTAAGTAACTTGAACAATTTAAGATTTTAATTTAATTTTTGAACTTTGCAACTTGACGAAATAGATGATTAAGTTTGCACGTAGAGACTCTGATTATAATTTTGCAATTTAACAAAAAAGTGGAAGATTAACTTTAATCGTCGCGATTAACTTAATCAAAAAAGCGGAAGATTAGAAGATTCGTGATGAGAAATCTAATATCCATCGATCGCCAAAGTGTAATTCACGTGCAACTTTGAGACTTAACCTAAGCGATGAAATTCAAGTTGCTCAAATTACAAATTGAATGACATTTCTATTTCCGTTTCCTCAGTCACGTCCGTGAAATAGTGCGCAAACATTCGCGATCGAAACTGCTCCGAGACTAGCGACAGCTCAGTCGACAGGTGGGAGGAAATAATAAAGTATCGTTCAATCGATTAGCAGTTGAAAATCGATTCGATCGCGACATTACACGCCGTCGTGTTGCGAAACGAGCGAGTTACTACTCATTTCCGTCAATGGGTAGGTGGTTTCGAAAGTAAATCGCGGCCACCTTTCATGCTACAATGACTTAGTATTGACCGTAGGTGGACAGTGTCGAGTGTTTACGAAGGGAGAAGGGGAGGAAGAAAGAAAAGGAAACCGCGAAATTCTTATTGTTTGTGTATATACAGTGGCTAAAGAAATTCATACTGCTGCACACTGTTCCACCATTTCTGTTTCATTCTTGCGCGAAGCTAATTGGAATTCTAATTTTTCGTGGTGAAATATCGTTCCCTTTTCCTTCTTTCTTTCTTTTAAATTAAAGATTTTCTTGCTCGAAAGGACACGAACACATGCGAAGGATGTAGTAAGACAAACAGATTGAAATCTGTATTTTTATCTGCGTTTGTTTGTGAGAACAGAGATTTGATTTCAATTCTTCGGTACTTATATGTACATGTAAAATAAATTTAAAACACATAGACATCAGAGATATATTACTTTTCCAAGAAGACTTCAGTTCTGTTCCGTTTTAAGTAGAATAGGTGTACGATAATACACGAAAGTAGAACAAGGTAATATATTAAGTAGAATAGGTATGTGACACGTTCGGAACACGTTTCGTTTATTTTGTTAATATTATAACAGATGCACAGCCTGTGACTTTGATATTCGATCGTTCGC